TTTAATCCATTTACATTTACAGTTATTATTGATAGACACTTACTCATTTTTTCCCATTGTGCCTGTGTTCCTCTCTTTCTCACTCTTTTTCTTCATCTTCTTAAAGCAGTCCCTTTAGCATATCTTGTAGTGCTGGTTTGGTGGAGATGTATTCTTTCAGCCTTCTTTTGTCTGGGAAACTCCTTATTTCCCCTTCCATTTTAATCAAGAGCCTTGCTGGGTAGAGCAGTCTTAATTGTAGGCCTTTTCTTTTCATTACTTGGAATATTTCTTGCCATTCCCTTCTGGCTTGTAGTATTTCTGTTGAGAAGTCAGCTGCTAGCCATATGGGGGCTCTCTTGTATATTACTACCTGTTTCTCCCTTGTGGCCTTCTCTTTGCCTATGATTCTTTCTTTGTCTTTGATATTTGCCATTTTAATGATGATGTGTCTTGGAGTGGGCCTCGTTGGGTTCCTCTTAAATGGGACCCTCTGTGCTTCCTGGACTTGTTTGACTTTTTCTCTCCTCCAATTAGGGAAGTTCTCCATCATTACTTTTTCAAACAGGTTTTTTATAGCTTTCTCCTCTTCTACTTCTGGTATCCCTTTTATACAGAAATTATTATGTTTCAGGTTGTCCTGTGTTTCCCTTAATGCCTCTTCATTCATTTGGAGTCTTTTTTCATTTTCTTGTTCTTTCTTGGAGCTTTTTTCTACCTTGTCTTCCAGCTCTCTGATTCGATCCTCTACTTCATCTAGTCTGCTTTTGATTCCTTCTGTTGTGATCTTCAATTCAGAAATTGTATTGCTCATTTCCTCTTGCCTCTTGGTGATAGTTTCTGTATCCTTTTTCATGCTGATATAGTTTGCAGTAAGTTCTTCATAGTTTCCCTGTAGTTTTTGGTAATTCTCTCTGAGCTCACTGAGCTCATTGAGCTTCCTTAGAACCATTGTTCTGAACTCAGTATCTGAGAGTTTACTTGCCTTTATTTCATTTAGTTCTTTTTGTGGAGATTCCTCCTTTCCTTTCGATTGGGAGGTGTTTCTTAGTCTTACCATTGTTTGCAAGACTCTTCTTTTTTGCTTCTGCTTCTTAAATTGATCTGTCTTGACTTCCTGTCTTTGTGGTGTAAACTTCTATGGTAGGAGACCTGTGAGTTTCAGTGATGCAGTCTCCCTGATCTGAACTTGATGCTCTTTGGATGCCTTTTATGCCATTTATGTTAGCTCTCTGGAAGTAATTGGGTTTTTATTGTTGTTTGATCATTGTTTGTTGGGTCCTTCCCTCCAACTGGTTAACTGAGGGTCATTCTGCCCACTGCGTCTTGAGGGGTTTTTGGTGCAGGTGCTGCTAGAACAAAACCACAAAGCCCAGGAAACAAACCCATATCCTCAAAAATAACTCCCCCCTGCCATCCCACTGTCAACAGCAAATGAACCAGTATTAATAAAGCTGTAAAAACATGAAGACTGTTATAAAAAGGAGAGAAATAAACTCTTAGTACAAAAATCTAATGACTTAATAAGCACAAACTTGATGGACCTGAAATGAACATTAAAAAGCTGTGTAGTAAAGAACATATTGCAAATCATGGAGAAGACCACAGTTGATTTCATCTTGGTAGTCTCTAGTACTTTCTGCTGTTTTTTCTTTCTGGATCTCCCTTTGGCAGTGTCAGATGGATTCCCAGCCTGCCCTTAGGCAGCCTGTTCAAGACTACCAGAGATCTACTTTCTGTGGCTGTCTCCTTCAGCTGTTATCTAATCACTCTGCACTCAGCAGTCAGGCTTAGGCTCCACAGGGTGGGGCAGAGTCCAGCCTGGGGGTGGGCTATTGTTTCCTCTCATATTGACACTCAGGAGAGTGGTCTGCCTGAGCAAGATGGCTGCTGCCATATGGGGGATGACTCAGCACTGGGATCTGGCCAGCTAATTCCTCAGTTCTCTCCCCAAAGCATTAGTCTCTGGCCTTTTCTCAAGTGTCACTCTCCCACTCTGCCCCCACCTTTTGCCAGAGCCCAGGGTAAGTGGCAACAAATAAAAATTTATGTGTTGGCACTTTAAATGGCTCTCTGCCTCTCCATCCACCCATCTGTGGCAGAGAGAAACCCTGCCGCTTTTCACAGCTGGCTGTTATCTGTATATTTTGGGGGCTCTGGTGCTGTAGGCTGGGGATTCCCACTTATGGTTTAGACCCCACCCTTCTCAGGCAGATCAAACTGGCCGCTTAAATATCCCTCTGGTGCTGCTGCCTGTGGGTGCCCAGTCAGCTTTCTCAAGTCCACCACACTTCTTACCAGTTGGGTTGTGCTAAATCTGATTCTTCTGTCTGTCTGAGGTTAGAAGGCTCCTGTCTCTGTTGTTCAGTTGTTTATTCTGGATAACTTCTACATAACTTAGTTGTAATTCCAGATTGGTCCTGGGAGGAGTTCAGTGTGACTTCCATTCACTCCTCCGCCATCTTGCCCAATTTAATACCTAGATAGGCTATGGGTTTATGACTCTGGCTTCTCATTTTCAGTTTAGTGCATTATACCTGATTTTCTGTTTGCTCCTCTATCCATCTAGCTTATGTCTTCCAACATCCTAAGGGATTTCTATTTATAAAAATTTCAGTTACTATCCTACCAAGATATGTTAGAATTTACCTTTATAAAACCATCCCCTTAAAAAAAAAATCTGTTAGATGGAATTAAAAATGCCATTAGCTTGTCCTTTTATCTTAAACTTCACTACTATAAGAATATCATGTCTCTTACAGTTTTATTTTCTTAATATATAATCTTTATTATATTTTTTTCTGTTACTGTTAGTACTCTATACTTCCCTCCCCACAAGCAATCACCACACTGCGGTCTATGTCCATAAGTCCTTTTTCCTTTTTGCTCAATCCCTCCACCCCCTAACCTCCCCCTGCCCTCCCCCCAAGCTGTCATCTGCTCTCTATCTATGAGTCTGTCTCTGTTTTGCTTGTTAGTTCAGTTTGTTCATTAGGTTCCATATATGAGTAAATTATTTGGTACTTACCTTTCTCTGACTGGCTTATTTCACTTAGCATAATGTTCTCTGGGTCCATCCATACTGTCACAAAGGGTAAAATTTTCTTCTTTTTTATGGCCAAGTAGAATTCCATTAGTTGTTTTATCCACTCATCTATTGCTGGACATTTGGGCTGCCTCCATATCTTGGCAATTATAAATAACACTGCAGTGAACATAGGGTTGCTTATCTTCTTTCAAATTAGTGTTTTGGGTTCCTACAGATATATACCCAGAAGTAGGATTGCTGGGTCAAAAGGCAGATCCATTTTTAATATTTTGAGGTATCTCCATACTGCTTTTTTATAGTGGCTGCACCAGTCTGCATTCCCACCAACAGTGCAAAAGGGTTCCCCCTTCTTCACATCCTCTCCAGCAATTGTTTGTTGATTTATTGATGATAGCCATTCTGACAGGTGTGAAGTGATATCTCATTGTGGTTTTCATTTGCATTTCTCTGATGATTAGTGATGTTGAGCATCTTTTCATATGTCTATTGGCCATCTGTATGTCCTTTTCGGAGAAGTGTCTTTGCCCATTTTATAATTGGGTGATTTTTTTGATGTTGAGTTTTCTAAGTACTTTATAAGTTTTGGATATTAACCCCTTATCGGATGTATCAGTGAATATGTTCTCCCCTTCTGTGGGTTGTCTTTTTATTTTGTTGACGATTTCCTCTGCTGTGCAATGTCTCTTATGGTTTTAAAAGTTCATGATATCTTTTATATCTGCTCATATGTGTCACCAAGTATTATATTTGTAGGGTGGTTGTAATATGTTTAAGATAAAGTCTTTGACATCAAAGAGTTTACTGTTGTAGAGATAAGCTATAAACATTTAAAGTTAAATCATCAACAGTTGAAACAAAGACAATAATAGAGAGGCTGCTGTGATATAAAAAACTGACTTGATCTTAGGATATTTGAGTCTTAGATGCTAGTTTTATAGTGTTAGACAAGATGTTTAACCTTTTGAAATATTAACCTAAGTTTCCTCAAAAAGAAAATAGATAATAATGCCATTTTACAGTTTTGTTACAAGGATCAAATTAGGCACGGTAAACACAGTCTGTAGTTTCTAAGACAGAGTGTATGATTTAGAGTAAGACACAAGACTGTATATCTAGTTATTTTTACCTCTGGCAATTGCTGTAAGGGTTCACAGAAGAAACCACAACTAGAAAGTTACCTTTGAGGGGTTAGTAGGGAAGATGTGAACAATACAAATGAACTCCTAATCGTGGTAGTTTGAAAAAAATAAGAAGCTGCCTTTCAGAGCTGGAGGACAAATGTGTTTTATTGTTCATCTGAATATGTCGTTATGTTTTAGGACAAGGTCTGCTTGAAACCCTACTGTATATAGCTTCTAACCCAGAGTCTTCCATGAAAACCCTTTATTAAAATGATTTAAGAACAAATTAAAATCAATAATTACAATACTGTCATATCTTTGGGGTAAGTGTACTTTGAGAACCAAATTAATGCATTTGGATTAGTATTTGTGACATGCACAGCATTTCTGTTTCAGTGGGGCGTACTGAGTCATGGGTTGGTACAGTTTCCAGGAGCATCTCACATGTGTGCCTGCCATCCCAAAGAGGTTTTCCTGTACCAGGAATGCAAAGGGTTTCACCTCTGACCTGTCAGTAATAGTTACCTAGAGTATCACTTTGAGAAGAATTAGGAGGCCACATTGTTGTCCATCAGGAAGAAAGCTGAAATAATTTAATGAGGTCTGCCATGGACTTCCATAGGCAGAGAGGAGGGGCGATCCCTACAGCATGGGTTCGTCCTCTCTGTACTGTGCACTTCAGGAAGTCACAGAAAGCTCCGTCGTTGCTCAGCACTTGGCCAGCAACATATTGTTTGCTTTTTGTTTATTGTCTCTTGGTAATCAGATTTGGTTAAATTTTAAGTAATTCAATCATTTCCTATAATCTGTAGCTCTGCTGTTGTTTTAAAGGTAATGTCTTATTTCAAAAGGAAACAGATAGCAGTGAAGATGAAGACATTGTTGGACCAATGCCTGCAAAAGGACCAGTTAACTATAGTGTAACAACAGAGTTTGAAAAAAGGGCCCAGAGAATGAAAGAAAAGCTGACCAAAGGAGATTGTGTAAGTTTTTAATATACTCTATTCTGAGAAATAGACTAACTAAATTAAAAATCTAAATTTAAAAATAGACATTAAAAAATACATATACAGGATGGGGCAAAAGTAGGTTTTACAGTTGTGAGTATGTGAAACATGATTTATTCTTATATTATTACTTAGTAATTATTGTATTATTTTACATATAAAAAACTGTACACCTACCTTTGCCCCACCGTGTGTGTGTGTGTGTATGTGAGAAAAATTTAGTTGCTAGGTAACCCAGAAGCTATAAAAGACTGGCAAATTTGTCTACTTAAACACTTTTGTATGGCAAAGATAACAAAATCAAAAGAACAATAAATTCGATGAAAGTATTTGTAACATATATGATAAAAACATCAATTCTTTCTATTAAAGCCTTTGTCTTAAAGTCTGCTATTTAACTTTAAAGCCTCAATTGAAAAACATAGTCACTTATACAACATTTTACACATACACACACGCAATCTTTCCAGTCTTCTGGGTTTTGTTTTTTTTTAACTTTTTGTTTCTCTTAAAGGATTCAGCTAAACCAATTACAAGGGAATTATGGATGACTGAGCTTCCTCCAGAATTGAAAGACTTTGGTCTTGGGCCCAGAACTTTTAAGAGAAGAACCGATGACAAATCCGGGGATCGATCAGTCTGGACAGATACTCCAGCCGACCGGAAAAGGAAAGCTAAGGTGAAAGTGTTTGTTCATGTATTTCTGTCCATGTTGGCTCTATTTTGAAAAGACACAAGGCAAAATATTTAAGGGTACTATTTTTTAAATTATGATTCCAAAGGGAAAAATACAGATTTCCCCTTGAAGGACAGTTGGAAGAAAGGGAAGTGACACCAGTTGCTTACTATTTCACAGTAAGTTGTATCACTTAAATCTCTAGGAAATCCTGAGACATGAGTTTATTGGCCTCATTTTATAGGAGAAATTTACCTCTATGAGGTCAGTTTTTGTGGTATTACAATGCTGGTAAGTAATGAACAATAATTCCATTGTAGACCTTTCTAACTCTAAGCTCTTGGAGTTAGAAATTCCAAAACTGGTCCTTTCACATCATACTACCTCCATGATAAAGTATCTTTTAAAATATCTTGAAAGAAAACAAAGCCACAGACTAATGTAGATATTCAACATAGAATAATGATTCATGCTACTATCAAAATAGGCAAGAGCACCCTCACTAATAGTACTAAATATTATATAATCTCAATTACATGTGGAATCTAAAATAAAAACAAAACTGAACTCATGGACAAAGCGAACAGATTGGTGGTTCCCTGAGTTAGGGAGTAAACAAATGGGTTGAAGGGAGTCAGAAGGTACAAGCCTCCAGTTATAAAATGAGTAAGTTCTGGGGATATAATGTACAGCATGGTGGCTATAGTTAACACTGTACTGCATATTTGAAAGGAGCTAGGAGACTGAATCCTGAATGTTCTCAGCACAAGGGGGAAAAAATTTGTTACCATGTACAGCGATGGATGTTAATTAGATTTATTGTGGCGATCATTTTGCAATATATATGAATATCAAATCATTACATTATATGCCTGAAACTAATATAATGTTAGTTATACTTCAATAAAAAATAAGCACCTTCATTAATGCAGTAAATAATTTACAAAATGTATATCCAAAAAAGTATGCATAAAATACTTTTTATTTTTTAAATTTTCTTTTCTTGAATTTTTCTGTTTATTTCAAAACACTTTATTGTAAATTAGGACTTGAACCACTGTCCCCAGCACTACTCCTTAAATTTACTCTATCCAAAGGTTTTAATTTCCTTAAGATATCCCATTCTGACTTTAAATACTAATTGGCACCTTATGATTATAGTTTTATCAGTTCTGACCAAAACAGTTGCACAATTCTTTTCCTCACTTGATTTATCTTTTTCATTAGTACCTAGTATTATGGGGATTTCTATTTTCATTCTGTAACTATAAATTGTATTATAAGGTTTCTGTTGGTTTCTGATAATAGATAAAAAGCTCCTTAAGGTACATTTATTTAAGTGGAGAATTGGTTGTGAAATAGTGTTATTGTTAAAATGAGGATAGTATGTTGAAGTCTCCACATTTTAAAACCCTACCCTGCATATGGGGCAGCACCGTAAGTTCTCTATTGCCCTGAAAATTAAAGGAATCTGAAAGTTGTAATAGAAAGGTGAGGTGAACCAACACATGGGGGCAGAAGAAGCAACAAAAGATGGGGTGTAGACTTGAGCCACACCTTTGACAAGTGTTGGAAGGCCTATCTAATCTGCCTTAACTGGTCTCTTATACAAATAATATACTATTGGCATTTTTATAATTTAGCCTTTAAGATTGTCTCCAAAAATATAATTAGTCCCTTGTTCACATGAACTTTTTTTTGTGCCCACATTTATTTATGCATTTTTCTGCCCTTCTGTATGCAGGAAGTCTTCAGAGAAAGATATCACAGGAAAATGGAACAAGTAGAAACTAGGCAGTACAATTTGAACAAAGTGGTTTTTGTCCCTGTGACTGAGTTTGTTAGATTTGATCATTCTTTTCAAGGCCTTAAAATGTATTGTTCAGTGTTTACAATGGACTCATGAAGGAATTATTACCATCCGTTATATTTTATGTGGTACTATATTACAGCAGATAGTACCACAGACTTACGTGTATTTGTGGTACCAACTAATAAATGTTACCACAGAGCTATTCATTTTCTGGTATTTTTGATCCTGTGTAAAAGTTCATGACTAATTTTTTATTTGTTGTAATAGATAGTCATTTCCTATTTAAAAAAAAATTTAATAGGTTCTCTTCACCACTTCATCTTACTTTTTAAAATTTGATTCCTCAGCATACATCTCCCATATCATTCATGTTATAACATTCACTTAGGCAACATCACCTAAAAGTAAAATTGTTCTTAGAAAGAAGTAGCAGTGTGGTGTATAAGTTAATTGAATAAAATATGTTATATTCTTACCTCCCATTCTTGACTAGATCTATTAGCTCTTCAATGGTCAGGTTTTTATCTCCAACTACCGTAGCATCATTTTTCTCTGAATATTTACAAGTAGAAGCATCTGTTTTCTGGGAAATATTTTATGAAAAAGTAAGAACTGAGTTATTCCTATGTTTTTAATGTACTTCATTAAATACAATGTTATTTTAGTTGATTATTAAAATCAACTCAAGAACCTCCTTAGTTTCCTTAAGCAAATAGCAGCAGTATAAAAATAAGCTTTGAGAACAATGGTTTTCGATTGTTTTTTATGTTTGCTTTCTTCATTTCTGGTTGAGACTGTATCCTCCAGAAATTTTTTTCTAACTAGAATTTGTTGGAAATTTACCTAAGTACATACTTCATTTTTGTGTGTGTGCTGTGGCAAATGATTTTTATCTCACTTTCAAATGCCAGTTGTTCGTTGCTGATGTACTTTGTGTATTGGCCTCGTGTCCTGCAGCTTTGTTGTGCCTGCTTACTAGTTCCGGGAGTGTTTTCGTTGGTTCCTTGAGGTTTTCTACGTACAAAGTTTATCATCTGCGAATACAGTTTTATTTTTCTTTTCCTATCTGTACACATATTTTTTTCTTAATTTGTTTCCTCAAAAGTGACTTCCCAAGTTTTGGAAACATATTGCAAGATTTCTTTTTAAGCCTTATTTTATCTTTTACACTTTATCATTGTTTGTCAAACTGATGTCTGAGATAAAGAAATAGGTGATTCATCCAGTTAGTTCATTGGATAAAGTTGTGTGGATTTTTTTCCTTGTTTCCAGGAAAATCTTAGATTACCAACAGACCTCTTATCAAGTATATGAACATATCTGGTAGGAAGAAGTTCAACAAGCCTGGCTTAGTTTAGCCTCTAATTAATCTGAGTAAAAATTACAGTATTTCCTTTTTGTTTCCCTTAATTATATGGTTCAGTAATGTGTTACTGTGCTTGTTCCTCAGGAGATGCAAGAAGGAAGGAAGTCACTCAGTAAGAAGGATGAAGAACATAAATTGTCAGGAAGGGAAAAGAGATTGGCTGAGCAGGTGTCCTCATACAATGTAAGTCATGGAATAAAATATATAACCTTTTATGTGTTCCTACCTTTTAATGCTCCTCATTTTTTCTTGTTTCTCTTTTGTATGTCTTCTCTTTACCTGTCTCTTTCTATACATCTGTTCTGAAAAATATTGAACTCTGTTGTGTATATATTTATGTAAAATCCTTTTGTGAAGGGTTTTTTAACGCATCTCATATAATAGTCTTAATTCATTTTTTTACCTAAGTCACATATCAGAAATTTAATTCCTAGAGATTGATAGCATGTGATCAGAAAGTAAGAGCCCTGCTAACTCTTCGAGAACATCAGTTCATACAATTTTTAATTATAAGCAGATTTGGAATATTTGATGTAAAGATTTAAATATGGGAGAAAAATGTTTTTAAAATATGGTTCAATCTAAATTTATGAACTGAAGAGTCAGTATACATTTGGCATATCATTATTTTGTTATATTCTCTTACTTGAAGGAAAAATAAAATAAATGAAAACCTACCCTGGCAGGCTAGCTCAGATGGTTAGAGCATCACCTGGATATGTCAAGGTTGTGGGTTCAATCCCTGGTCACGGCACATACAAGAATCAGCCAATAAATGAAACAAAAAATTGATGTTTGTCTCTTTCTCTTCCTCTGTGTCTCTAAAATCAATAAATAATTTTTTTTAATTTTAAAGATTACATCAAAAAACAAAACAAAACTGGTGTTTTAACTCAAAGAATAAATATAAATCACTGAGCCCATTGACCCCTGAAAGGTGTTGTGTTCAGGAAAATTACCTTCTGTCCCCAAGATATTAATTAATAAAAAGTTGCATAAACATGAAAAATATAATGAGAATGACTTATTGGACATGTAGAATAGTATCACAAACAGTGAAGCTGAAAAACTGACAAGCTCAAAAGTCACATCTCAACAAAATTTCATTTAAGCCATATTTTCTGACTGCGAGGAATTTAAGTTAAAATTCCAGTGACCTAAAAGTCTATACAACAAGAACTTAGAAAAATTTTAAATTTAAACTTTGCATCAAAGAAGACATGATAATGGAAGTTAGAAAATACCTAAACTTGAATGATACAAAAATATAACATATTAAAATGTGTGAGATGCAATATAAAGTGGTACTTAGAAACAAAGTTTATAGCCATAATGAGTTATGTTAGAAAAGAAGAATAGCTGAAAATTCACAAGCTGTGCATTTTTCCAAACGAGCATTTTTATAAAACTAAACATACGCTACCCTGTGACCCTGCACCTCCATCCCTGGGAGTTTATATAAAACAAATGAAAACATGTCAACAGGAAGGCTTGAACATGCTTTACTCATAATAGGCTCAAGAAGAGACTTGTATAAGAATATTCATAGATGCTTTATTTATAATAGCTAAATTTGTGAACAGCTCAGGTGCTCAGCAAAGAGAAAGTAAAACTAAACTGTATACAGTGAAATACTACTGGACAGTAAAATGGAACAAATTACAAGTAAATGTGATAATGTGAATGAACCTTGAAGGCATTATGCTAAGTGAAAAAAGTCTTATACAACAATTCCTACACAAGTCCACACTCTATGATTATGTTTATATGAAGCTCTACAATAAGCAAAATGAATCTATGGTGGGAAAAAAATCACAATAGTGGTTGCTGGAGTGGGAATGTGGGGATTGAGTAGGAGGGGGCATAGGGAGACTTTTAGGGTTATGGAATTTTTCAGATCTTGATAGGAATTTGAATTCTAAAACTTAGTAAATGTAATATTAAGATTTGTGCATTTTATTGTGTATAAACTTATGTTCAAGAAAAACTTGTAAACAAATATTGAACTCGAGCTAATGAAATGCATAATGAAGCACTTAGGGGTACATGTAATGATGTCTGCAATTGACTTTAAAATGTATTTAAAAATAAGAATTTTAATCTCATACTGAAATTTTGGTTACATGTAAGATATACTTTTCAAAATATTAATATAGTCTTAAGACTAAATCACCCTATAATTCTTAGTTTTGATAAATTGAGGACTATTTATTCTTTTTCAAAGATTTTATTTATTTATTTTTAGAAGAAAGGAGGGAGAAAGAGAGGGAGAGAAACATTAATGTGTAAGAAACATCAATCAGTTGCCTCTTGTACATGCCCCAACTGGGGCCAGGCCCACAACCCAGGCACCTACCCTGGCTGGGAACCTAAACAGCAACCTTTCGCTATGCCAGACAATGTTTAACCCACTGAGCCATATCTGTCAGGGCCAAGCGCTATTTAAAATGTTACCATGAAGCCCTGGCCGGTGTGGGCTCAGTGGGTTGAGCGTCATTCCACAAACCGGAAGGTCGCCAGTTGGATTCCAGGTCAGGGCACATGCCTGGGTTGCAGGCCAGGTCCCTGGCTGGGTGTATGTGAGAGGCAGTCAATTGATGTTTCTCACACATCAGGGTTTCACTCTCTTTCTCCTTCCCTTTCTTTCTCTAAAATTAAATAAATAAAATAGTTAAGTAAAATATTACCATGGAGGCAATATAAAAACCAAGCTAGAATCTTAGCTTGAATTTTCAAAAGTTACTATAAAACTGTCCCATTAACATAAATTGCTCTGGCTTTTTATAAATTCTTATAGAACAAATTTCAGTATGGGATTTTTTGTTAAATGATTAAATTGGGTAAATCATCCAATTGGCCATTTAGCACATTGAGCTCTACATGAATTGGCCTTCAGTGTGAGTTTTAGTGAATTGACTATGTGTAGGTGTTTTTATATATTTTTTATAGTTCTAGCACCAGTGTGGTCATGTGTGTCACGACAGGCAAAGTGTGCTAAACCAGAGAGTACACCTGAAACAACTGACCTAACAAATTCGAGACACCGAATTGTTTGAATTGATTATAATAATCCAGTCATATGATATAGTCCCCTTCTTTTTTTATCCTCACCCAAGGACATGCTCATTGATTGATTTTAGGGAGAGAGAGAGGGAGAGAAACATCAATGTGGGAGAGAAAAAATCAATTGGTTGCCTCTCGTACATGCTGTGACAAAAGACCAAATCTTCAACCTTTTGGTTTTGGGATGATGCCCCAACCAGCTGAGCCACACCAGGCTGGGCTTCTCCTGTCTTTATTAATGTTTAATTCACTAAATGTACTAATAACAGATGCTCCTTGGCTTATGATGGGGCTATGTCCCAATAAACCCATCATAAGTTCAAAATACCATTAAGTCAAAAATGCATTTCATATACCTAACCTACCAGATATCACAGCTTAGTCTAGCCTACCTTAAGTGTGCTCAGAACACTTATCACTTACAGTTGGGCAAAATCATCTAACATAAAGCCTGTTTTATAACAAAGCATTGACTATCTCATGTAATTATGCATATTGCTTTCGCACCATTATAAAGTCAAGAAATCGTAAAATCTACTTATAATTTAAACTAAGATTGTCAAACTAAGATTGTTCTATTCCCTTATTTTCCCCAGGAATCAAAAAGATCAGAATCTCTTTTGGACATTCATCAAAAAAAATTAAAGAATAAATCTGCTGAAGATAAAAATAAGCCCCAAGAAAGAATACCATTTGACCGTGATAAAGATCTCAGGGTTAATCGGTTTGATGAAGCTCAGAAAAAAGCCCTAATTAAAAAATCTAGAGAACTAAACACCAAATTTTCACATGGCAAAGGCAGTATGTTTTTATAAGTAAGTATATTTCAGTGAGGTATATTTTTATACCTATAAATTTGAACTTCTCTAAAAATAAATTTTATCTATAGTTATGTGCAAAAAATCTATTTCTTTTTATAATAGACTATAAACCTGTGAATATTTTTTATAAGAAAACTGATTTTTGAAAATTCAGCCTTCGTGTGCTTAAAAATGTGGTTTATAGAAAAAGTACCCTTGTTCTCACAATAACTTAATAGGGCATTGCTATTAAAAAATGCTAAAATAAAAGTTTAGTTTATGAGAAATGAAAGTATAGTTTAAAGGTTGAGTAAATATGAAGAAAGGAGGTTTGCTAGTATTCTTTTTATGTTAAATAAGATCTCAATTAGAAAATGTTCATTGCTTTTAAAAGTTCTCAATAAAGTAAAGTTCAAAACTGTTATATCATTTGTAGCCCAAACTGACATGGGTTCATAATGATGATTAAGGAGTTACATAAAAAGTAATGGTGCTTCTTTAAAATTTTTTATGATTTTTTTCAATTGTATGAAACCTACTTCAATATTAAAATGTGGCTTTCAGGGAAAACAGTTAAAATTAGAAATATTTTCCAACTTACTGAGTTTTCTTATTCTTACTTCAGGGGGATTTCCCTGTGCAATGAAGAAAAGTTGAAGAACACTCTTATCTGTTGGTCCACTGTTATTCCTTTGTTTTAAGTTTCTTAAACTTATTACAGTTAAAAGATTAGAGATTACTTTAGTCTTAAAAACCATACAAACTCACCTTGTTCTGTGCATCCTTTAAAGTCATGCAGAAGCATAAAATCTGTGTTTCTTACGTAGAATAATAGAATGTTATGTGTTTGACTTCTGAGAAAGTATGGGCTTTTCTTCAAATAATTATTCTGAGGATTCCCCCCACCGTGCCCTAATTTTTGTGATGTCTCCCAAGTGTTCTCTCAGACCCGGTCAGGACTGTCTGAATCCTGGATCTCCTCATTGGATATTACTAACCTGCCCTAGAGCAAGTGTGTCCGGTACTTAGAGTAAATCCAGGAATTTGAAATTGGATATTCCCTTTCAACTTCAGGGAGTGAATACACACTTACATGAAAATAGAATATATGGAGGTTTTGACTGTTTCTTTAACAGTTTGCTTATTTGGGTACTCAGGGCTTTTTATTTGTTGTTTGGGTTTTCTGGTTTTTAAGTCAGAAAGGAATCTCTGTTATCTCATGTTCTAAGGAAAAAGTACTTGATTTTTTTTCAACTTTAGATGGGGGGTTGCAATCTGAGGAACAAGGCATGCCGTTGACCATGAGCATTGTGAAGTCTAAGACTCAGTTCTGTGACCTCAGCCAAAGCTAAGTCTTTAAACTCTGCTTTGAGATGATCTTACTTTACCCATTTTTATTTAACAGATTTTAGCTAATTTATTGGGGACAAATCCTTTTATATCTATCAGTCATGAATAACCTTTTTTTAAAAAATGAAACTCTAACCATAACCACCCTAATGGAGCATTATAAGTTTGTAATGCTGTAAGTACAGCCTCTTTAGATGTTAAATACAAAATTCTAAATGGTTAAGGCCTAAATTCAAATTCTGTAAGTTATATTTTCTTGCATATTAATCTAAACTGTTCTGCTAGTTCTGTGTTCTAGTTTTGATAAAGCACAAGGTTTTAATCTTTCTGATTCTGATTCTTAGTTCATTTAGGCTTTATGAAAAATTGAGTAAACTGTTCAGAGAATAGTAAAGATTATTCTTCTTTTAATCATAGCAATACAGTGGTATTTTCAATAACATCTATGTAAACAGTAGCCTACTCAAGGAATATTGCTTTTAAAAAGATGAATTATTCTCCTAAGTAAATTCATGAAAAGACTTCTTGTTAAACAGAGTTGAACAGAGCTACCTTTTGACTAAAGATGTCATTTTTAGTGGATGGTATTGTGTAAACACAAAATTTTGTTGCAAGAGCATTCATTACTTTCATTTAATTTTGTTACAGTTTTTTTTTCCTCAAAGAAAGGAAAAAATATTTTCTATTTCCTCATCCTTCTATAGATTCCTAACATATATTTTTGGGAAATCTGGTATTTTTAAAGTAAAAATGTCATCTTTGGATACTTATTTTCACTTTGTTTTTATCCTAAGGGGATAAGGATATTTCTATATTACATACTTACTGTTTCTTCCCTCATACATGGAGTGTCCATGACCTTCGCAAAAGGGGAAGAAGCCTCTTCTTTCCATGAGCTACAACCTTCCTGCCACCTTGGATCTAAGGTTCTTTCATGCCACCCTGAATCCAGTTTTAATAAAATGTAAGAACAGACCAGAGGTCCTTCGCCCAATGGAGAGTCTAAACCCAGTATAACAACAGTGACAATAAAAGAGCAGAGTAACTGCACAGAATGGAAGGGTATTCATTTCATCTCCTCCTCTCTTCCAGGCTGCAAGAGGCCTGATTAAATCAAGTCTCCTATTAATCTGGTAGAAAATTGAGATTGTTGACATTTTCTAATAAGAATTTTTTAATATCCTATACTTCTTAGCCAAATTTTATAGAACTGTGACCCCTTTTGAAATTTAAAAAAGAGAAACATACCTGGCTGGGTGGCTCAGTTGATTGGAGGGTCATTGCACACCAAAAGGTTGCAGGTTTGATCCCCTGGCTGGTGCATACAGGAAGCAACCAACTGATGGATCTCTATCTCTGCCCCCCCCTCCACACCCCCTCCTCTCTCTAAAATCAGTAAACATATCCTTGGGTGAGGATTTTTTTAAAAAATGAAGAGAAAGCAACACTAAGTTCAAAAAGTGAAGCAGCTACTTTACATTTTTTACTGTTAAAGATGCCAGACATTTAAGGTCATTGCACCTGCTATAATATGATTTTGTTCTCTAAATAGTCATCTGAAATAAATGTAGAGGCTTCAAATAATAACCATATTACTGATAAGTAAATGGAGGAATTGGTGGCTAAATCCATAAGACTGGTTTATCAGTTAAACCCTTTCTATTTTACACAAAATGTTGTAAGCCCTACTCTCAAAACAAAAGAAAGCATATCTTAATAAATTTTTAATCTTACTCAGTGAGAATATAAAATGATGCGCACTTTTTTATATTAATTATTTACTGCAATGTAACAAGTTATTACAAAATTTAAGAGCTCAAAGCAACAAACATCTGTCATTTCACCGTTTATGTGGGATAGGGATCCAGGAACTGCTTAGCTTGCCACTCAGGAAGGTCAGTGTGTACCTGGGAGTGGTCTTTGGAGGCTCTAGCTGGGAAGGAGAACAAACTTAATCTTGATTGGATATAGGAACCACGTGACATTTAATCACTTGAACATTTAATGGTTCTTTGAATGAATGGTTTGTTTTACAGGTGAAGTTGAGATTTGCATGGTACTGAGGCTTACATGCTCCAGATAAACGGTTATTACATAAATTATTTGATCCCAAAACATAGCACATTTTGTTTCTTATACAGAGTGGATAATGTATTATGACCCAGATATGCATGGTCATGGGAGATAGTTTTTAAGACTATTTACAAGAGCCCTTATCACTCCTCTTTTCAGTTTTTTCATGGTAATGTTAGAAGGGAAAAAATATCTATTGAGCTAGATACCTAAGAGGAAGAATTAATATGAAGGAAAGTGGTTAGAGATGGTACCCATGTAACATCAAAACCAAGTCTTCTATTTCAGATAACTTATTTTACTTTGATTTCTGATGCCATCATATCATTTAAGTCTGCAGTTACAAAAGGTCATGCATTTCCTATTATAGGAGAGGTATATATTGTATTTTGCAGCTGAAAAAACTGTGACTGTAGTATGTAAAAAATTAAACAGCTATACACTGCCCATTTTGATCTTTTCATTTTCAATTTTACAATTAAAAGACTGTTTTTAGAAAAGAATAATTCCTGAGGTAAATTTTTTATGTATAAATAAACTTTCATCTATATCTAAGTTGTGGTCCTGTATTTTTGTTTTGTCTTAATATTACTAGCTCACCTGAGACAGGCAATATTGGTAAAGAGAATATCCTGTAAAGATTCTTCAGTCCACCCAGATCACTGTGGGCTATTGTGAAATCTTTCCCCCCAGCTTACTTGCCAGGTTTTCATTATCCCAATATAACTGGGTAACTATTTATTTAGAAATGGAAGACAGACAAATGCTCTTTAAGAGTACCAAGGCACAAGAGGGGCTGTATTGGGTTCTTCCAAGATTCTGTGGTTCTACATGTCATAGGGTTATGCAACAGTTGGGATTTTAATTGGTTGAGTGAGAATGATCCTTCCTTCCCTCCTCCTTCCCTCCCTCCCTCCCTCCCTCCCTCCCTCCCTCCCTTCCTTCCTTCCTTTCTTCCTTCTCCCTGTACTTCCCAAATTCTTTCACAAAGTATGTATTTCTCTATAATTTGGGTGGGGGTGTTAACCTTTTTTTTAATTCCTAGTTTTTTATTATATAAGGTCAGAGCTGGAAACTGAACTACTGGGAGACTACTGAAGAAGTGACAAAAAGAGATACTTTGCAATACAAAAGCTATGGATTAAAAGACAGGAATCTGAACTTTCAGATCAAGGAAAGATAATCCTTGAGCGTTCAGATCATTTCCCTATAATATATATCTCTTAAGAAAATAATGTGTTTGGTCATTCATTTAGTAAAGGGCCGAGTGTGTGCTAGTTGCTAAGAACACAGTGGTGGACTTCCAGGCAAGATGGCAGGCAGACATGGCTTGCCGCTTTGCACAACCATGTCAAAATTACAGCTAAAAGTAGAGAACAACCATCACTCAGGAATGTCAGAAATTGAGCTGAATGGAATTCTGACAGCTATAGAATCAAAGAAACCACATCCATCCAGAACAGTGGGAGAGGTGCAGACACGGAACGGGCTGGTTCAGCCCCACGTGGATAAAAATTGATGAGTGAGGAGTCCCAGCCCCAAACCAAGATTCCCCGGCCCAGGATTCCAGTGCCAGGTGATGAGTCCCCACGACTTCTGGCTGCAAAAACCAGCAGGGATAGAGTTGGTGGAAGAAACTACTGGAGCCCCAAGCAGTTCCTCTTAAAGAATCCACATGTGGACTCACCTACTCAGACTTACTCCCTCTGAGCTCCATCACTGGGGTAACAACTTGAGAGGCATCAGTGGTACACAGGAAGAAACTGAAGTGTCTGACATCAAGGCAGGCAGAGGCCATTGTCCCTTTGCTAAACTCTTCCCACACAGAGCCAGTAGGCTGGTGCCATATCTGAGACTCCATCAACCTAGCTAACACTGTTTGATCTGCCTTGGAGAGCCCCAGAGCCTCCGCCCACCCAACTTATGGGACCGCCTAAGCTGTTTTTCCATGGGAATGGCAGGTCTTGGCTCCTAAACCCTATTAAACAAGTAACAGCTGGCTTCAGTGAGCCCTAGCAGTAGACATACTAGATTTACAGCTTGGCTTTGCTTAGGAATCTCCAAGTCCAGCACAAGTAGCAGCCATCTCAGATTGCTTTGTAGCTCATGCTGGGTGCCCTGGGCAAAAGACAGGTGAGGGCTGACCTTGGCCTGCATCACCTGGGAAACACCAGGGCCAGCACACCCGGTGGACAGCTACAGACCACATCGGAGCACCACTACCCTGCCCCTGCACAGCTGATCCTCCATGGTGGGCAGAAGTTGGTGATCAGTGGCCACAGCCAGTCCTTGCAACTGACTGACCTGGGTAAATCCCTCCCATTGATCTGCCAACAGTAACCAAGGCTCAATTACAAGAGGAGGGCATACTGAGCTCATGAAGGGCGCCCTTCGAGTGCCCAGCTTCAGTAATAGGGGAAGATGTTCCACCAGACCCTACGGGACACCTACTACATTAGACCACACTACCAAGACAAGGAGTCAAATGAGCTCTGCCTAATACATGGAAATAAACATGGGGAGGCTGCCAAAATGAGCAGACACAGAAACATGGCCCAAATGAAAGAACAGATCAAACTTCCAGAAAAAGAGATAAATGAAACAGAGATAAGAAACCTATCAGATGCAGAGTTCAAAACGGTTACAAGAATGCTCAAGGAATTTAGTGAAGACTTCAACAGCATAAAAAAGATCCAGTCAAAAACAAAAGATACACTCACTGAAATAAATGATTTACAGGGAAACAACAGTAGAATGGATGAAGCTGAGAATGCAATGCTTTAGAACATAAGGAAGCAAAAACCAACCATGCAGAGCAAGAAGAAAAAAATCCAAAAGAGGATAGTATAAAGAGCCTCGGGGACAACTTTAAGAGGTCCAACATTCACCTCATAGGGGTGGCCAGCAGGAGAAGAGAAAGAGCAAGAAATTGGAAATCTGTCTAAAAAAACACTGAATGAAACCTTCCCTAATTTGGTGAAGAAAATAGAGACATGCAAGAGAATCCCAGTTATTATGGGTGCAAGGCAGCCTCCTGTAAGACGTATAATTAAAATGCCAAAGGTTAAATATAACAAGAGACTCTTAAAAGCAGCAAGAGAAAAGAAGTTAGTTGCTAGATGGGAAGGAGGAAGGGGAGAATGAGTGAAGATGTGAGAGGGTTAAGAAGTACAAGTAGGCAGTTACAGAACAGCCATGGGATGTAAACTACAGTATAGGAACTGGAGTAGCCAAAGAACTCATATGCGTGACCCATGGACATGAACAAAGGAGGGAGAAGCAACCTACCAGATGCAGAGTAGGTGGCACTGGGTGGAGGGAGGCAAAGGAAAAATGAGGACAACTGTAATAATATAATCAATAACATAATTTAAAAAAACCAAACAGTGATGAGTCAGACATCTGCAACTCTCCTCCTTGAGGAGAGATTCTATTCCAGTCACTACACGGTATGCACAGGTAAGTAATGCACATTCCCTGCCTCATGATTTTATATACATTCCAGTGAGAGAGCAGAAGAGGATCTCAGTAAAAACAATGAAGTGTACTACATGATGACTATAGCTAATATTGCTGTATGATATACAGGAAAGTTGTTAAGAGAGTAAATCCTAAGAGTTCTTTTCACAAAGAGAATTTTTTTTCTTTTCATTTTTTTATTGTGCCTATATGAGAATGTTACCAATAGATGGAGGTCAGAAGTTCAAGTACTGAGGGTGTGGCATGCAGCCAGTCAAAGAATGCCTTTGTTGCAAACCTCCTGGAACCATGGCAAGAACACTGAGTTTTGCAACACAGTTTCCACGCGGCATGAGGCCATGATGTCCATTGCCCAAGTAACCAAGCACATGCCTTGCCAACACTTTGCCCTGGGTAGATTTCACACTGCACCAGGGGAGTCCTCCCCTACCCCTGGCCAAAATTGCAACTGCTGGAGGTTCTTACACTGAGCACACAAAAGACTAGCAAGATAATTGGATGGAGGAAAAAGCCCTCCTACTCCCTTCGAGTACCAGATTGGGGGTGGGACCAGGGGATGGCAAGTACATGCACCATAGAAGTCAAAATGGTGCCAGGCACAGGTGCTGGACCAAAGCAGCCTGTCAGTCTAGCCTGGGGAAAGAGAGTTCGTTGGAAGATAGACTCACCCAAAGCACATGATAGTTCAGGAAGTTGATTGGTCATTTTGGGAGAGTCCGCTGTTCATCCCACACACAAAACTAATAGTACCAGGGGAACAAAGAAATTCTCTTGCTCTTGGCTTGTTGCTCAGGACCTGCACTTGCACGACCTTTGGCCTTAGCAACCATGTGGCCCATAGTCTCTAGGAGGAAGTCTCTCTCTCTCTCTCTCTCTCTCTCTCTCTCTCCCGCCCCCCCCCCCGCCGCTGACCTGGTGAAGAATTTGCTGGTGTGTTCACACACTCTTCTGGAAGCACGTGACCTTGCAGACTTAGCAGCTGCAAGACCCATGGCCTCCAGGAGGGAGCCTGAAATGGACAGCAGCTAGGAACAAGCTAAGCTACCTGGATGACCACTTAGCAGCCACATGCGGACTCGAAAAAACAGCAGTTTAAAGTGGAGCAGGGACTCTGGCCACTCTTTTGTTTTGGTCTTGCTGAGGAAAGTTGGACTTTGGGTTTTGCAGGGAAGAGAAGCTTTGAGACGGGGAGTCTGCCATTCTCCCAAATCATGCAGCATCTAAATAAAACCTTTTTCTTTCTCACCAGCCTCTGCCTCTTGAGTTTGGCTTTTGTGGTGGTAGGCAGACAAACCCCCTTTTTTTGGAAACAAGCAGATAGCTATTAGCTGAACCTATCATGACAAACATTTCACAATATATGTAAATCAAACTATCATGTCCTATGCCCTAAGCTTATACAGTGATGTATGTCAGTTATTTCTCAATTAAACTGGAAAAAATCAAGTAAGTGCAAATTGTGGCAAGTGTTATAAAGAAAAATGAGTAGTAAAGAGTCTAACAGTAGTTGAGGAAGGAAATCCTATTTAAGTAAGTTGATAAGGAAAGTCTCTCTGAAGAGATGTCTGAACTAAAACCTAAATGAGAAAGGAGCTTACTAGCAGTGTGAAAAATGATTGACCACTTAGACAAAGGCCCTGCAGCATTAGTTCTGTGGTGTTTGAGGAACCACACCCATGTGGGTTGTATATAGTGAGAAACATGCTCAGGGCTAGTCCTTGCTGCAGACACTAGAAAGGCCCTATTGTATGAAGGCATTTAATGCAGTCCTGGAAGGTGAAAGAAGACTTCCAGAGGAGAGTACTTATCAGCCAAATCATAAACATTATTTCAGCATTAATCATATTGGTCCTACTACCAAAGGTCTACCCTACTGGCCTTCCAGAATTTCCCAAACATGTCTGAATTCATGCCCTGAGCCCTCACTCTGAAAACCTGTACGTAACCCCACTTAAAACAATCATCAGAATATTAGTACATTGAACTTCTGCCTATACTTTTATCACCAAAGAGCAATTTATTTAGGTAG